TCGTTTGAAACAGTTGGGTAGATATTAGTTTTTGAAGAGGTTTTACGGCGCTCGCAACTGCATAAGGTCATATGAGCGCCAAAGTCGTGTAGATATGCCGTGGTGGAACACTGAAAGCAGAATACACTGTCACCGTCATTCATCATCGTCGTATTGCGCTAAAATACAAGGTTTCCGGGAGAATCATCATCATCATCCGGTGTCTTGTCGACTGGCCTGGGCGATCATGAGACCTCCACTTCCCTCTGTCTTGTGTTGCAGCAATGGTGTCGATTGTTCTTGCTGCTCCCAGCCATGTTGTTACTTGTCCAGTATTTTTTCCCTCTGTCTGCCTCTTCCTCCCTTTCCTTCAAACTTGCCTGTTGTTACTATATTCTCCAATGCTTCTTTCCGCATTGTGTGTCCAATGAAATTTGCCTGTCGCTTTAGTATATTCGTCATAAGCTGTCGTCTGCAATTTGCTTTTACCAAAACTTCTTCGTTTGTTTTTATAGCTGTCCATGGGACACGCATCATGCGTCTTATGAACCACAAATCTGTCGCAACAATTGTTATTTCCAGCTGTATATTGATTGTCCATGCTTCGCACCCGTATAATAGGATTGGCTGGATGTAATTTTTCAGCACTATTTTGGTTTGGTTTCCAGCGACAGATTAATGTTAAAATTGTGAGTATCTGTTTCATTTCGGGAGAAGCAAAGTGAAAAAAAAGACTTTTACTTCTCTAATGATTTCTATCTGAAAACAAAATGTATACTTCGTCTAAATCCCGTAATACCCCCCCCCCTCCCTCTTTTGTCCTGTGTACCCTTTTCAGGTACTATGTTTGTGATCTAATTCGTATCAGGCAATCATTGGCTGCAAAATTTAGGTAAGTAGGTAGAATGATATAAAATCAAAATTGATCTATGAATAGGAAAATATAAATAACACTGATTAGAAATCCCTTATTGCTTAAATTATTTACGAAGTGGAACGACACTAAGGCCAATCAGTGTGCTTCATCAAATTTCTCAACGTACTTTCATTTTTTTTCTCTCTCTCATAATTTTAACAATCTACAAGTCCGAATGACGGTGAGGGTATTTTTCTCCCGCCGCCCCCCCCCTCCCCGACTCCTGTATAATCTCCTCTCTATCTTCTTCTTCTTTGCTTTTTCAGTAGTCGCACTTTGCGTCTCGGATCTTTCTAAAAATAAACCACTTTGTTATCTTGCCACTCTGCCTGCTTGAGCTGGTTTGCTTCCAGGCCAGGTTTGTATGTCCTTTTCCTATCTTCTGTTAGGTCTTCCCCTTCCTCTCTTGCCTTCAGTCTTTGCTTCCAGAGTATGTTTCTCGAGGGAATCAGCTTCCAGAGTATGTTTCTCGAGGGAATCAGGTAGCTTGATATGCCCAAAGCAGTTCAGTCTCAGTCTCATAATGACCTGAAGGGATGTTGGTTGGCGTTTGTACGCGTATTCTTCTTAATACATCTTTCCTCAGTTTTCGTCACCACGATATTCTAAGAGTTCCTGTACAACATTTCACCCCCCCCC